TTTTTTTTTTTTTTTTTGAGAGGTTTTTGCTATAGGGCGCATGCGCTCGCCAGACAGAGAGAGACAGAGAGACAGAAAGCGAGAAATCACCCCCAGGGGGGATGGTCACGCCTCAATCCCTTCTCCTCCATTCTCCTCTCGGGATCTTGGGCACACACGCACACACGCCCGGCGTGAGTTTTAAGCCACCAGGTCCAGGACGCGAACCGTGGTCGACTACGTGGGAGTCCAGCGACATAGCCATTATGCTAACTGCTGGTTCCCAAGACCCTGACCTTTGACAGAAAGTGGATGAATATGGAAGATTTACTGCTAAGTGAAGCAAGCCAGGCTATGAAGGAGAGACACTGCATGTCTCTACTTAATATGTACCGAGTGTCCACACTCTATGGCTGAAACTGAATGACTAAAGGTTATAGAAACTTAGTAAATGGTTGTGAATACCAGACACAGTGTGAGAAGAAGGCAGGTGAAGGAGTAGAGTCTGAGGAAGGACATTAAGGAGAAATATAGAGAGGCAAGGCATTTATAGAACAAGGAAATAGATTATTATCTATTGAAGATAACTATAGTATTGTCAACTGGGCTTGTGAGAAATGTACACATGTTGGAATATTCACTTTGTAAGCTAAGTTTTAGTGATTGAATGTATAACAGAAATTGATATAAAAGAAATAAAAAATTAAAAATAAAAAGAATTGTCTGTTTCTTACAGGTTTGAAAGAATTCCTGCGTGAAACCAACTAGTCCCAGCGCTTTTTAAATTTGGATATAGATTACTTAGCACACAAATGAAAATGGGACTTACATTTTCTTCATGTATTACACATTTCATCATTATAAAGTGACCCTCACAGTCAGCCTCTTAGTAAGGCGGAGATGATTCAGAGGAACTGAAGGCGAGGACAAGAGTATTAATTATTGCTATGACCTTGCCGCAACAAAGAGGGTCCGAAACAGTAGTGGGAGGATGGGGAAAATGGATTGGACAGAAATGCCATGCAGTTAGCTTTCACCTTTCACTCTCTGAGCAATCTAAGTTACGTTCTCTTGCTGCAATTAGCTCTTCATTGTATATACCTTCTTCTTGTTCTGGGTGGTCTGTTGTTTATATCCCATATTGTCAACTAAAGTGTTAGCCCCTAGAGGAGAGACTATTAAAGACCCTGCTCTTAGACATATGCCAATCCTACGTGATTGGTTCATTCATTATAATATTCTTACGAAGCATCTGCCAGGAACAAGGAAATTAACAGTCCTGTGTGTTTTCTGCATTAAAGAATGAGATTAGAAAGAAAGGCAGGAATAAGTACATGAGAGGCACACACCAGGCCCGAATATAAGAGAGACTATGTTCTGATTTTTTATTTTTTAATTTGCCAGGGATGTGTGTGCTCACCAGAGGGAGACAGAGAAAGACAGAGACAGTGAACCTCCTCCTCCCGCATGAAGAATGGTCATGCTGCAATCCTTTCTCCATTTCTCCCTCATGTCAGGATTTTGGACATGCATGTGCGTGTGTCCACTGTGTTTTCCAAGCCACCAGGTCCAGGACTTGAACTGCACAGTCAGCCATGTGGGATGCAGCTGTTTTAACTACCGTGCCACCAGTTGGCACGTGTGTCCTGCTCTTCACTAGATAACTACTTCTCCTAGAGCAATCTGCAGATAGGATGACACCCACAGCACTGTGTGGCAGAATGGCAAAGGCCACCATTTAAGAAACTCAGCTACCATTAGGGCGACCACGCATTCTCAATCAAATTGCCGAAATGGACAACCAGCAGAGCTTCAACAACTGAACTGGGATGCTGGTGATTCTTATGCCCATCTGAGGCCTTGTACTGCCTGGCTTTGGGGAGCTAAGCCTCAATGGACGCCTGAAAGGCAGTGGCAGGGGACTCACCAGGTTGTCCAGCATCCTCATGAGGGCCTCAAACTCGTGCTCCCCCAGCCGACTCTTCTGCATGGGCCCGAAGGTGCTCCCAGCCCACTGCACAGAGCCCACCTCGTGGGGCCGGTGCTTCTCCTGCTCCAGGAGGATGAGGTTCTCCACTCCCCCTGCGCTGGACAGAGCCGACACCTGCAGGAAAGAGCAGAGCGCCTCAGTCACGTGCTCGCGGGAACCCCTGCACTCCACTTCTGCGTGACGCAGGAGCGTGAGGGGCACAGAGGAGAAACCAGAAATGAAACCAAGACTTAGAAACCAGTTTCCCAAGAAACAGGAAAAGCCATCCCGAATTTGTTGGGCATGGATTCATTTCTAGGGAGAGAGGTACTACTGGTTGAGCATCTGGAATCTGAAAATCTGAAATCCTGCAAAATCTGAAAGTTGTGAGTGCGGACATGACACCACAAGTGGAAAATTTTATTCCTGACCTCATGTGACAAGTCGCAGTCCAAACTGCAATACGAAAATACTGCAGAGAATTCTCTTTAGGCTAATTGTCCCAGGTGTATAGGGAACATAAATAAATTTCACGTTTAAACTTTGGATCCAACCCCAGCTCATTACATATATGAAAATACTCGAAAATCTGAAAAATCTGAATCTGAAACACTTCCCGTTTCACAAATTTTGGGTAGGGATACTCAATCTGGGGTGACGTTTTCCCTCATGTCAGTTCTGAGACTACAGATAAAAAGAAAAAAAGCGAGTGTTAAATCTTAAGAATAAAGTAATACAGAGGACTGAAAAGTTCCTGGGATACAGCCCAACTTAGAATGTGATTATTTCTGGGGAGGGAGGATAAGGTTGAAAATGGCTCCGAAGAGGACCTCAATTCTTGTCTGTAATACTTTACTTGAATGTAAATATTAAATGTAATACTTTTTCCTCTTAATCTTCAAGAGGAAAAGATTTGAAGCAAGAAGGCTATCAATACTCATTAAACCTGAGTGGTGAGTAGTGAGTGCAATTTTCTCTGAAATATCTCCCTTTAAAAAAAAAAATTCATTGGAAAGCAATAGGCTGGCTTCTAGGCCAACGAAATTTGAGTGTAGCCTGATGGGATGGGCTAACAGGTCTAAAGGAAGAATGTGTCCTCCAAAATGCGTTTAGTCAAGAACGTTTTTTAAAAAACTAAATAAAAAAGGAGCCAGGCAACTATGCAGGGGCGAGAGAGTGTTGACCCATGGACTTAGAGTGTGTTTCCCGCTGTCAAGGCTCCATGGGGAGGGGATGGTACACGTGATTAAAGGGATGGACTTTGAGTATTAGGGCAACAGGTGTACACATCAGGCATTTTAGAATGATGCTAAAAATATACACATATACTCATTAATCTAAGTGATTCCCTATTTCTTAATTCCATGCTCATCTAATGGTACATTGTGCTTACTACCTTCCTGCCATAGCTGCTACTCACACACAGTGGGTTAGGATTTGGCTTCCTGAGTAAGTCTAGCTACAGAGAGAGACTGTGGCTTTGAGTAGTCTAGGTAATGACCCAGGTGCTTTGTACTGGCCTTCTGAGTAAGATTTGATAGCTCGTGTAAGCCTGCTTGTTCTGGGGGCGCTGCTCAGATCCCATACACTTTCAGGGTTTCTGTGACAGTCATTTTTTTTTTTTTTTTTTTGCAGAAAAATAAAGGATCCAGCTCAGCTGCTGACAATTGCAGCTCTATGAACCCATGAGAATCAGATGGACCCTGGAGTGTGTGATTCACTAGTATTAAAAATTGCCCCTTTGAGGGACCAGCAGTTAGCGTAATGGCTATGTCGCTGGACTCCCACGTAGTCGACCGCGGTTCAAGTCCCGGATCCAGTGGCTTAAACTCACGCCGGGTGCGTGTGCATGCGTGCCCAAGATCCCAAGAGGAGAATGGAGGAGAGGGGATTGTGGCGTGGCCATCCCCCCTGGGTGGGTGATTTCTTGCTTTCTATATCTCTTTCTCTCTCTGTCTGGTGAGTGAGTGCACGTACCCTATAGCAAAAACCTCTCCAAAAAAGAAAAAAATTGCCCTGTTGAGGCCGGTAGGTGGCGTGATAGTTGAGGCACTGGACTCCTACATGGTCGACCATGGTTCAAGTCCCGAACCTGGTGGCTTGCCTTTTCACTCTCCCTGTCTGTCTCTCTCTGGTCAAAATGCAAGAATAATGATAATAAATAAAATTAAAAATCAATCTTTTTTTTTAAAAAAAATGCCCCCTTTGATATTTCTTGGAGGCCAGCCAGGCAGCCCTCCTCAGGTAACCCCGTCACTCTGTTAAAAGGAGGAGGGGAAGGGAACCAGCAGTTAGCGTAATGGCTATGTCGCTGGATTCCCACGTAGTCGACCGCAGTTCGCGTCCCGGACCCGGTGGCGTGTGTGTCTAAGATCCCAAGAGGAGAATGAAGGAGAAGGGATTACGGTGTGACCATCTCCCCTGGGGGGTGATTTCTCGCTTTCTGTCTCTATGTCTCTCTCTGTCTGGCGAGCGCACACGCCCTACAGCAAAAACCTCTCCAAAAAAAAAAAAAAAGGAGGGAAGAACATTTTGCATGCCCTTCTCATCCAACACACATGTGCAGTTGAAGGGTGACATTTCCCACTGACCCTTATGGCTCTGGAGAGGCAATGCAAGAGAGTGTTTAAGAGCACAGGCTCAGGGACCAGGCTGTCTAAGATCAAAACCTGGCTCTGCCGCTTTCTCACTGTGTGACTTTGGGCAGCTATTTACCATCTCTGTGCTTCTGTTCCCTCAGCTGGAAAATGGAAATAGCAGAATCTATGTGGGGAGGAGTCTTTTAAGTAATAGTTGTAAAGCACTTAGAATTGCACCCTGTGTAAAAGGAGTGCCTCATAAGTGTCTCAACAAATGAATTCTGAGAAGTAGTATCCTCTGGGGTCTGATCACTAATGGAGAAGGAGAGAGGGAGACAACGGCCCATAACCTTGCAAGAGCTGCCTCCTCCCTCCTCCCTCCTCCCCTGGTTTCCATGGTGATGGGTAGCAGATGGAGTTGAACTGCCTGAGTTTCTTCCCATCTGCCTGGCAGCAGAGCAGGGAGCTGCCTCTCCAAGCTAGGAATGACCCAGTTTCCTGGGTCCCCAAACTGATGGAGAGCAAAGAGAAAACTGTCCCCAGGAGAACTGAAGAGGCTCTCAGCCTTGAGCCACTGACACGACCACAGCCACGTTTCCTCGTTTGCCAAGGTGACCAGGAGAGAAAACTTGGTTCACAGTGGAATGAAGCTTCGGGGCTAGCTACCCCACCCAGAAATGACTCGTCCAGGGCTGCAGTCCCAGCAGCACCTGCAGACTGCTGCTACCTGGGCCCTCCCACGTCCTAACCCACCCATGCCTCTGGTGGGGCCTTCCTGTGTGTCTTCTGCACTTTCCAGCCCCACTGCTCCCTCTAGAAGCCTCTCTACTCCAGTTTCCTGAGGGTGATCGGAGCTTTCCTGAGGGTGATCCGCCTGCACTGCTGAAGTACTCACCAAGGTCACATCAAACCAGTCCTGAAAAGAAAGTGACAGCAGCTGGGGGGCTGTCAGGGACAGAGGCTAGTTGCTCTGCCCTTTGACTGCAGATGGCCATTCTGCCTTGGGTTCAACTGCCCGGTGGCCATGTGTGGGGTCTGGAGCCTGGGAGAGGTGTACCTCACTGCGTGGGGAGACACATGGGCATCTCTCTCCAACTTTTTTTAGTGATGGCTGTCTTCACAGAGAGAGGAGGGTTTTTTTTTTTTTTTTTTTTTTTTTTTTTTTTTTTTTTTTTTTTTTTTTTTTGTT